ACTGTCTTAATATTCCACTGCTGAGTTAACTTCCAGATTTTCGTTACCCTGATCTCTTCATACTTTTGTCAGTACATCAGATTTCTCAATTATTGTTTTTTGAAAGATATCAGCCTTAAAATAGTAGGTCTACTGATAGTCTTAAATACAAAAGTTTGTAAATGAATTAGATATTAACTCACTTCTGAGTAGTTTTAGCTGAAAAATAAGTCAAATGGAGGCTTGGAATTATCCTCTTTAAGGACAAATTCGAAGTGATAAAAGGTGCCTGTAAGAATCTTGGCACTGTTTTGAAACTGATATTCGATTTCACTCTCTATCATCTTTTTTTTTTTTTTAAACAATATTTATTCAAGAATTACAAATATTACAATATACATATAGATAAACATATGGTTTTGGAAACAAGCTTTAAAAGCTTGTATAAATCCATTACCATCATCACTATCATCTTATGCTCATCATTGTAATATGTACTATGCATCTTTTCAATTTATTTCAATCATTAATAAAATTCTTAAAGGGATTGTTAAAAGTTTTTCTCAGGAACACTTATAGCATCAATTTGCATCATTCCAATTTTCAATCAGACGTCTGTGGTTTCTGCAATTCCACTAAAACTAAATGTTTTATGATGCCACTAATCATTAAGTCCGTCTGTGGTTCCTGCAATTCCACTAAAACTAAATGTTTTATGATGCCACTAATCATTAAGTCCTTATGTGATAAAGCATATTATGGGATTAGTGACGTTAAAAACGCTTAGTTTTAGAGTTATTACAGGAACCACATACGTCTGAAAATTGGAATGGTGCAAATTGATGATGATGGTGTCCCCAGATACACATAAAAAATCTAGAAAACCTCTTTACAATCCCTTTAAGCACATGAAGAACATGTCCACACATACCATCAAATATTTGCATTTATATTTGTCCACCTTTTTGGACTCCAAGAAGTGAGAAGATGCACCATGTTGCTAAGAGTTGTGTAGGCAATGAGTTTTGTTCGGGGCAGCAGAAGGTGTTAGGGTTGAGAAGTATGAGAGATTGGTATAAAGACTGGGAGGCCGTGGAGTGTTGTCAAGGTGACCGATGTAATTACTATGTTACGGTAAGTATTTCCAAGTACTGACTTAATGATGTTGCTTGGTAACTGAAGTGCCAAGTTTGGGATACCAGTTTACTCAACTGAGATAGAAGCCAGATTGTAAGAAATAAAGCCATCTGGGCCTTGTTTCACTAAAATCGTAAGTCTGTGAAAACCATATTTGCGACAAAATTGATCGTAAGACTTTTTGTGGAACGAGACCCTGGTTTATAAATTTTTTAAATTTGTTGATGGATCATTAACATGTTCTGTTTATATTTCCAGCTGGGATCATCCAATATGAAATACAGTATCACAGTTCTTGCCTTGTCTGTGATGGTGACACTATTTTTCCTGAGCAAATTACAAAACCAATAAATTCATTGTAACTATAGCAACTGAATTAATACCTAACTAAAGTTATCATTTCATTCTAAAATTTCGTCTATCACAAAATAAGTGCAAAACTTTTTAGCTTTTTGGTGATTTATCCTGTATTTTTTTGGCTCTACTGATTGAAATTGAGCAAACAAATGCCTTTTGAACTTATAATCATTCTTTGAACATTTTCAAATGAAAATGAAATTTCAATAATTTTGTATCTAGGCTAACAATGTATTCAACTAATGAAATATGAAAAAAAACATTTTTGCTTGATCCCCTTTTTATATGCTATCCTTCATAAACTGCATCAACATTGTATATATTGTAAAAACAATCATTTTTATATCTTTACATTTTTTAGAATATAGTTTATTTTTTTTAAATAATTGTGCATAATTTTAAAATCATTGTAAATGGTATTCTCTAATCTCTAAATGACATTTAGAAGTAGATAGAACATTAAATAAATAGGAACACTTTTATGGATATACGTTGCAGAAATTAAAGAAACGAGTAGTATATCCATGATAGTGTTCTTATTTATTTGATGGTATACTCTAGTTGTGCTCAAACAGAAACTGGTGTTTACTATCGGTTATTGTAGGCAAATATAAGATTTGAACGACATATAGAAGCAAGGAGCACATATAACAAAACACAAGACAATATTATTAAAGATATGTGTTATATTATACAATATTGTCTTGTGTTTTGTTATATGTAGGCAAATATACAGAAAAACATCAAAAGAAAGTAACATGGACAGCTTTTTGTTGATTTCTTGAAATCAGTTCAATATTGAAGTGAAGTCAATAAAATAAATAAATAAAACAGTTGGTACCTTTTGATTACAAATTGTAAACATGAAATTACTTTTTTTGAATTTTTTATCAGGAATGAATCCAGTTACCGGTAATAATTTTAATCTTGAAATGGATATCGGTTACGTGTTTGAGCACGCTCCTCTTGTTGGCAGCTATCTGCATATATGAGATAATGCTATGAATAGTTAACATTGTGTTTCTTTAGCGATGGTTGTATATTATCAATATCCATGATAATATTGTACCGTTGCTAAAGAAACAGGAGTTAACTTAATCTCTACACTGATGAGACAATGCTATGAATATTTCAGTTTAAATATGCTGTTTATTGAATCTTATTAAATCAATATGAGAAATTCGTTAATTTAAAGAAACTTGTAATTTATCAAATGTTGGTGATATTGCATATTGAATTTCATTTTTATCCATCATCTAATGTTTGAGAATCTTTTGGCTTCTTTTTCTTCAGAATGCTTTTACAACACATGCCTGAAAGATTGCGTAGAAGTCTTTGATGTGTAATGAGTCTCTCGTGATAACTTTCAGTAGGCATAAGGAACAATGATAACTTTCACATGGATCCTAAAACTACCAACTGTTCCTTGGACTTGGGGCACACAAACGATTTTTGTCGAATTGAATTTTGAATAAAATCTCCTGTGTGCCTGCTATGTTGATAATCACGTGATTGAAATGAAAACAAATTTGATTGGATAATGATACTCTTTGGAGTCTCGTTTTGGTGTGAGCGCAGGCACAAGAAAAAGTCAATCTACGAATAGGATAGAATAAAATGGATGACAAATATCTAACTGGTTTGATTATCTTTGATGATTGAAGGCCTGCTCTCACTGAGAATCATCATCCAATCAGATTTATTTCATTTCAATCACACGAAGCTATAATTGTCCATGGTGCGTGTGATTTTCCTTTAAAAATGCTTGATATTGTACAATGCCTTTATTTTATATCAAATACTATGTCATTCGATTCTCTGTTTTTATATCAAATAACATTCCTAATATATCTTTTATAAAAAAATTGAGTTGATGTTTGTTTTTCAGTTGGTCAAATTAAAAGAGTTGCTTCAAAGCCTATGCTTGTAACAGTCGATTGCTTAAGTATCTTTCTCCACCAACCAAAATCAGTTTGTGTGTTTCTATACAATAGTGCGTACTATATACAAGTGCATAATATATACTGATGCAATATTTTATACTGGTCATTACACCATTGTATAGTACGCACATGTGTAAAATACACATCTAATTTGGTGTGTACCATATACAGAATGTGTACCATATACTGGTAAGCGCTATTTTCAGGCACTAGTATTATAATTCACGCCTGTTAAAGTGCAAAGCAGTATATTGTACAAATGTATTAATATAGTGCGCACAGACAATAGAACGCATCTGTTTATAGTAAACTCCTGTATATAGTACGCACCTGTGTATAGTCCACACTTGAATATAGTACACACCTGAATATAATACGCACCTGTATATAGTACACACCTGAATAAAGTACACACTTGAAATTAGTACGCACCAGTCTATAGTACACACCTGAATATAGTATGCACCTGAATATAGTACACACCTGTATATAGTACACACCTGTATATAGTACACACCTGAACATAGTACGCACCTGAATATAATACACACCAGTATATAGTATACACACCTGTATAAAGTACACACCTGAATATAATACGCACCTGTATATAGTACAAACCTGAATAAAGTACACACTTGAATATAGTACACACCAGTATATAGTACGCACCTGAATATAGTACACACCTGTATATAATACACACCTGTATATAATACACACTTGAATATAGTACGCACCTGTATATAATACGCACCTGAATATAGTACACACCAGTATATATTACACACCTGAATATAGTACACACCTGAATATAGTACGCACCAGTATATAGTACGCACCAGTGTATAGTACGCACCTGAATATAGTACACACCTGAATATAGTACATACCTGAATATAGTACACACCTGGATATAGTACATACCAGTATATAGTACACACTTGAATATAGTACACCCTAATATAGTACGCACCAGTATATAGTACACACCTGAATTAGTACGCACCTGTATATAGTACTCACCTGAAAATAGTACGCACCAGTATATAGTACGCACCTGAATGTAATACGCACCTGTATATAGTACACACCTGAATATAATACGCACCTGTATATAGTAAACACCTGAATATAATACGCACCGGTATATAATACGCACCTGTATATAGTACACACCTGAATATAATACGCACCTGTATATAGTACGCACCTGAATTATTACGCACCTGTATATAGTACACACATGTATATAGTACACATCAGTATATAGTACGCATCAGTATATAGTACACACATCTGTATATAGTACGCACCTGAATATAGTACACACCTGAATATAGTACGCACCAGTATATATTACGCACCTGTATAAAGTACTCACCTCGAATATAGTATGCACCAGTATGCAGTGCGAAACTGAATTATTACGCATCTATATATAGTACACACCTGAATTAGTACGCACCTGTATAAAGTACTCACCTGAATATAGTGCGCACCAGTATATAGTGCGCACCTGAATTTTTACTCACCTGTATATAGTGCACACATGTATATAGTACACACCAGTATATAGTACACACCTGAATATAGTACGCACCTATATTTAGTACACACCAGTATATAGTACACACAAGTATATAGTACACACAAGTATATAACACACACCAGTATATAGTACACACAAGTATATAGTACACACAAGTATATAGTACGCACATGTATATAGTAAACACCTGAATATAATACACAACAGTATATAGTACAAACCAGTATATAGTACACACCAGTATATAGTACACACCTGAATATAATACACAACAGTATATAGTACAAACCAGTATATAGTACACACCAGTATATAGTACACACCTGTATATAATACACACCAGTATATAGTACAAACCAATATACAGCACACGTCTGTATATAATACACACCTGTATATAGTACACACATGTATATAGTACACGCCTGTATATAGTACACACTAGTATATAGTACACACCTGTATATAGTACACACCAGTATATAGTACACATCTGTATATAGTACACACCTGTATATAGTACACGCCTGTATATAGTACACACCAGTATATAGTACAAACCAGTATATAGTACACACCAGTATATAGTACACACCTGTAAATAGTACACATCTGAATGTAGGAATATAGTACGCACCAGTATATTGAACACACCAGTATATAGTACAAACCAGTATACAGTACACGCCTGTATATAGTACACATCAGTATATAGTACACACCAGTATATAGTACACGCCTGTATATAGTACACATCAGTATATAGTACACACCTGAATATAATACGCACCTGTACATAGTACGCACCTGAATATAGTACACACCTGTATATATTACACAACTGAATATAATACGCATCTGTATATAGTACACACCTGAATATAGTATACACCTGAATATAGTACACATCTTAATAAAATACTCACCTGTATATAGTACACATCTGAATATAGTACGCATTTGTATATAGTACACATCAGTATATAGTAAACACCTGAATATAATACGCACCTGTATATAGTACGAACCTGAATATAATACGCACCTGTATATAGTACACACCTGTATATAGTACACGCCTGTATATAGTACACACCAGTATATAGTACAAACCAGTATATAGTACACACCTGTATATAGTACACATCTGTATATAGTACACATCCGTATATCGTACACATCAGTATATAGTACACCTATATATAGTACGCCACTGTATATTTTACGCACCTGAATATAGTACACACCTGAATGTAGTACGCACCAGTATATAGTACGCACCTGAATTAGTACGCACCTGTATAAAGTACTCACCTGAATATAGTGCGCACCAGTATACAGTGCGAAACTGAATTATTACGCACCTATATATAGTAAACACTTGGATTAGTACGCACCTGTATATCGTACACAACTGAATTAGTACGCACCTGTATAAAGTACTCACCTGAATATAATGCGCACCAGTATATAGTGCGCACCTGAATTTTTACTCACCTGTATATAGTGCACACATGTATATAGTACACACCAGTATATAGTACACACCTGAATATAGTACGCGCCTATATTTAGTACACACCAGTATATAGTACACGTCTGTATATAATACACACCTATATATAGTACACTCCTGTATATAGTACACACCAGTATATAGTACACACCAGTATATAGTACACACCAGTATATAGTACACACCTATATATAG